ACAGATACAAAGAGTGTTCCTGAGCAGAGAGGTGGCTCACATGGCCCACAACATTGTAATAATGATTATGATTCTCGTTTTCTCCAACTTTGTCCTCTACCCAAACTCCTGCAGAGTGTCTCATATTATGTCCAGACCACATTGGCAACACAAGGGCTTCAACTTGGCTTCAAAAGTTAATAAAAGTCAATCTTCCTCTAGAGTTTTCTGACCACTTGTTAAAAATCATTTCAACTTTCAAGTATTCTTGTTAGAGGCAGGGGACCGAAGGCATATTAAATCAGTTGGCCAATCTGACTTAAATCTTAGTGAAAAATTAACCATGCATTCCCCATGCAAAGACTGGCACTCTTTAACAGACGGTGGTTGCTGATTTTCCCTTTCTACAAACTGTGCGCCAGTTCATTTGAGAGGATAAGAGGTAAAGAAGGAACAGGTTGGCACAAAACAATTATCCTGTCAGATAAAATGAGACCTCTGACCTGTGGACAACTCCACCCGTTTGTCTAGACAGAAGAATCAGAATAATTGAAGGGCAAGTTTTCAAAGTGGACAAAATGCTTATTTATGTCTGGATGAATAGCTGGAACTTCCACTTGTTAAATATTTGGTAGTAATAAGAAGGTAAATTGGTTCTCATTTGGCTGATTAGACTCAGAAAGAAAGAAAGGTTTACTCTCGTAGTGACAGCTCTGAGACCATCTAGGGCAGCCATAACCTCTGAGACCTAGCCTCAGAGCCATCTTTGTGGGCGCGGGACCAACACAGTCACACTGTTCAGAAGGCCAGCGCTTAGGGTCCATTGCTGTGCACTTGCTGCCTTATAATTTGTAATAATTTTATCCTTCAATTTGTGTTTAGTTAATGAAGTTCAATGGGACAGTGGAGTCTTGAAGCTTCAGTTCACAGGTGGTCCCTGGTCCTACCTCCTTGCTGCCTCTCCAGGATGGGGAAGGTCAGGGTGGGTGTGTACGTTGCAGCATTTCAGGGTCATGATAAGGGAGCAGCCTTCTCTGTCTTGGGCTGGCAAAACCATGCTGTGTTTCATGGATGACTTGGCAGAAGTTCACCCGCCTTAAATACCAGCCATGTCCCAGTGTGAAGGTGGCAATCCCATGGCAGGGGTCACCCATCCCCTGAGAGTTGGGGCTGCCAGCCATCAGAAGGAAGGATTGATTTCTCTGTCCCTGCCAGGACCCTACATTTTCATTTTTGTACTGGGTTCCACAAAGTATATAGCCGACCTTGTCTAACCTGATCACCAACAGACAACTCAGTTCCATAGAGCCATGTGGGGCCTCAGAAGGGCTGTTAGATCTAGTGTCTATATGTGTCCCCTCTGTAGAGCACAGTGGAAGATCTATCTGCTTCTTCGAGTCTTTCCTTCCACTGTGAAATATTGTAATATACATACAGTATATATTTGCTCTGCAATATGGAGAAATTACTTAACTATTAAGGGCCGCAGTAGGTAACTCTGTCATGTAGGAATAACAATACTACTGTTATAGACATAAAACAAGGTATCATAGGTAAGTACTTGGCAGTGCCAGGGTTGAAGTAGATGTTCCATAAATTTTAGTTGCTATTATTGTGGTTATCATTATTTGCTATAGATTCTGAAAGCAATTGCACAAGTATTTTAATTCTATGAAGGACACACATTTTAATAAACTCGTTCAGAGTCTCAGTCTCCAGAGTTCTTAGGGTCTGTCAAATGCACTACAAATTTCCAAGAGGAGAAAAAAAAAAAAAACCCAAAAAAGGAAAGTCATACAATGAGAAGGGATCTTGGTTTTGTCCACTGTGATAACACACCCATGGCAGCTGTTCAGTTGTTGAGGTATAACAGTGTCTCACTTACTGTTTTGCTGGAGTGAGTGGATACAGGAGGTTTACTGAAAGTGGAAGTCTAAGTATGTAATGTGGTGATCTACAGACCACAGATCTCTGTCAGTGATGGGCTGGTGTCGTGGACCCACCCACCTGCCAATGACTGTCACCAATGCCATTCACTAGAACAGAGCTGATTGCTGACTTATGCAGCCTGGCACCCCTATGTAAATATTCTAACACATCTTTGGACTCCTGGGAAGTAAAGGAAGCTGTTTCACTACTCTGTCTTTGTTATTTGTGTAAGTAGTTATTATTTTCATAAACATCTTGAGCACTAAGTGTATACTTTTAGTTTTCTCTCTAATCTTCATAAACATCAAATAAAGAAACTATGCCTGCTTTATAGATAAGAACACTTGAGGCTCGGCTAAGTTAAATGGTTTAATCAAGACTTTCTAGTTAAACAGTGAGAGAGTGAGGGTTGAGATCCGGTTCTGTCTGACTTCAAGATCATGTATCTTAATTGCAAAGCCTCTCTTTCCAGCACAGTAAGTTAGCTCTCTGTAGGAATAATACCAACAGCAGGTAGTGGCTCAGCTTTAACACCAGACAGTATTCTAAGTGCTTAACATGTATTGGCTCATTTAATTCTGGAGACAGCCATATGAAGGAGGAATTACTATCCTCATTTTACAAGTGAGGAAATTGAGGCAGTAGGAAGCTAACTAAACTGAGTCATATAGCCCGTTAGTGACGGTCAGGCTGTAAATAAAATGTAGTGTGGCTTCAAATGCTGTGGTCAACCAGCAGGCTAAGGGGTGAGAACTTCTAGAATATTAAAATGTTAACTGAAAAAGTATAATTTGACTTTCTAAAATAATATATAAGATATGTGCATTCAAATGAGTGTCTTTCAAAGTATTTAGTCAAAATGTTTTTGCAATTTCTTTCAGAAACTGAAGCAAATAATAGTGATGATAGTACTAATAATATTAACAGCAGCTAGATTAATTTTATATCTATTGTGTGCCCAGCACTATGCCAAATGCTTTACATAAGTCATCTCATTTAATGCTTATGACAGTAATACCAACCATTTATACAGCAGAATAAAATTACTGAGGCTCAGAAAACTTAAGTAATTTTCTCTATGTCATAGCATTATTTGATGGTTCTGGGTTAAACTTGTATTATCTAAATCCACAATCTACATTCTTCACTTCTAAACTCCTAATACTAATACTTTACTACTAATACTCCATTTTTATATTATCTAAATCCACAATCTACATTCTTCACTTCTAAACTCCTAATACTAATACTTCACTACTAATACTCCATTTTTAAAATATATTTTTTAATGGTAGAAAACTTTATCTTCATAGAATACACTGGACTTGTAAAAAACAGTATAAGTTACTTGTGACTAAGCTCTAGGTTTTATGAATTTCAGGTACTTCTGATTCATTTTCCATTAAAACTACCATTTGATGAAAATACAGACTGCTTTTCTCTTGCAATCTATACATTGTCTGAAATCAGTCCCCAAAAGACAGAGGAGTGCACATTTGCACAATGGCAGCATCATGGTCAGAGTCTCCTAAGGTGACAACGTTGAGGGATGCTCTCACTTACAAGCATATTCATGCTCCATACCTGCCACTAACTCTTAACAGTGGAAATGCTGAGCAGAGGCTTATCATATGCCTACTGGGCTAACCACACAAGGCTTGTAGGCACTATTCAAGCATCCTGTGAAGGCACTGGGTGTACCACTCTACAGTGATTCTTATCCAGCAAGCCACATCCTCATTTACAGCACTTTCCTTACAGGGAGACCTTGCATGACTTTTAACAAGTGGTTTCAGAGAATCTACATTGTGTGTGGATCAATCTCATACTGTGAACAGTGACTGTACTGAATTGGGGACAGTTAATAATCTTGTGTGAAAAAATGCATCTCTTAAGTGAGTGAGGAAGTTGACAGATTTCCATTTCCCTTAGTTTTGCATGGGCCAAGACTAACTCATTCTTTGTTTTCCCCAGCCTTGCTGGAGGTTGCAAATAGCATCATTTTTCTTTCTAAAATATAGTTCAGAACTGGTTTTAATTTAATATATAGCTCAAAATTATATTTCATAGAAAAGAAGTGTTAAAATAGCTCAGTCATTCTTGGTAAAGAAATTACTGCAGTGGCGGGGGTGTGAGGCAGGGAAAGGGGAAGAGGAGAGAGACAGGGAAGGGAGAGGTAAGAAAAGAGAAGAAAGAGGTGGCTTTATTGCTCATTTTTAGACTGCCATTCATATAAGGTGACTTCCCTTGTGGTCTGGAGTATGCTTCTTTAAGCAAAATTTCTTCTCCAGACTGAAAAACTCCATGACACACCTAAGATCAGCCATCTCCTGCTCCACCCTCAGCTAGTTTTCTCTCTTTTAACAGTTAGAAGCAACCTTGTTGGACAATAGTGTCTAGAATTTTCATAATACATGCTAGACAAATTCTGTCAGTTAACTAGGAAGTGGCCCATGATGAAAGGTGAAATTTAAAAGCAACAACTCTTAGAAGTAACATTTGCATATTTCCTAAAGTTTCCCCAACTCAAAAAAAATGCTTTTTATGTGGAATCTTCTATAGAGAACATTATTGAGCACAGCTGCTTGGAGAAAAAGCACTTAATTTGGATGGCAATATTTCTCTTAGAACAAGGAAAGAAATAGGCGGAGTTAATCATTTCTACTTTGAATTAAGAGAAATGCTAGTTACCAACAGAACAAAACAGAAGTCTAAAGGCAACACATTCTCACCAAAGGGGTAAAAAAAGGAGTTAGAAAAATATGCCTTAATGGATGAGACCCAGAAAAGAACATAATAAACAGTGAATAACTATAGAAAACTATTTTAAAATAATTAATAATAAGAGTCACTGTGTCTGTAATTATTTAAAAGTCACTAATTACTTTAAAAATCCCAGGAGGAAAGTTTTCTTTTCCCCATTTTATAGAGGAAGGGCTGAGACACACAGGGGCAGGCCACTCAGAGCAGGTCACCTCGTCAGACAGTGGCAGAGTAGAGATTAGGCCCAAAGACTAAATTTCAGGCTCTTAACCACCCCTTTCCAGGACTTGAGATAGCACTTGGGAGCAACCGAATGGCTTTCTGATTACCATGGCTTTGTTGGAATGGCCGCCTCCTTGGAACTCAATGGTCCCAAAAGCATCGGTAGGGCTGAGTTGAGTGTGTTTGCTGATGGACCACTTTTCAGACTGGATGTCATTTCGGGAGAGGCGACTTTCATTTTTCTCGTTCTGAAGCACAGAGATACTGGGGGTGAGGCCAACATGCTGGCCTATCAGACGCCCACAGCAACACCTATAAGAGAAGAGGTTAAAGTGAATCCTTGGTATTAGTCAGTATTGGGATACACACTTAAGGCAACCAGCTGGAGAATTCTAAAGTCTGTGCCAACACCTGTCAGTCAATTCTCAGGTAGAATTCCACCATGTGGCTAAATCAGGCATTGGTAAACTCAGGCTTTCCATGATATACATATCTTTTCTTTTCTCCCCTCTACCCATTTTCCTTTAGCTGTGTAAGCTGTAATCTGTCTCCCGCCCTTCTCCATCCACCTCTTTTGTACCTGGCATTTTGTTCAGGATTGGACACCTGCAAACAAAAGTTCTCTGGATTTTTCTACTTCACACTCTGCCCATCTATCAAATCTATCAAAGCATGAAGGCCTCTGAAGAGCTTTGAGGGGGAGAAGTTTAATATGCACATTTAAATGAGGAATCTCACTTATATGTGTGTCACAACCGAACATGTCTCTTCCCAATTGACATTTGCTGTCAAATATCCAATTCTGAGAATAAAAATCTGCAGGCTTAAGTGTTCTTGATGAAACAATGAAAAAATATTCATGAGATATTTGAAAACTTAAACTTTGCTCTATCATGAAAATGTCCTTCATACATTACTATTACTACTTTTACGACTACTAGTAATAATAGTTACAATACATAGCTGCCATTTATTAAAAACTAACAATTTAGCATCCATTGTATAGATGAAATATTGTAGTTTTGAAGGTTAGGTAATTTGTGCAAGGTTACACAGTCTCTGAGACTCTGCAGTCTATATTTTAAACTGATTTCTTAAATTGCCCATTCATAAAGGCATTTCAGACATATATATGCTACTTTATCCCAAATGCTTTTTATCTCATATATTGTTGATCCTAAGGAAGGTAAGTAAGGTGCTAACAACGTGCTTAAATGGGAATCTGAAGGCCTACAGTTTAGTTAGGAATCTGCTAGGAGTCTTTTATTTAAGTCTCTTTCTTTTTTTCCTATTGCAGAACATGTTGGTACAAATTAAGCATTTGGAAGAAGTACTTAAAAGGAAAAACCAATAACCGTAACAAAAAACATAATCCACTATTATAGACGGTGATTAATTCCTTCCACAATGGTATTTATGTTTTTCTTTACAGGCTTTTAGATTAATAATTAATTGTAGGCCTGACATATATAGCGTGTAGAAATAAGATTGCTTCAAAGGTGTCCAAAAACAATATAAAAGATATTTAATTTGACAGTGTTTCCCTTGCAACAGGTCATGATTACTCTTGTAGGTTTTTTGTATAATTACTACTTCATGTTCTCAACACATTATAGACAGCAAGATTACCTATGGGGGTCTTTGGTGCTGGGTATGATGTGGACACATTCTCTTTTATAAAATGCTCTTTCTATCCAGGATTTCTGAGCCTGAAAAAGAAAACACACACACACACACAAAAAAAAAAAAAGAAAAAAAAAAGGAAAGGTGAATATACTGTGAAATATTTTTAACTAGAAAGCAAAATTTCATAATCATATGAGACTAGTATATCACAAATTGAATTGAAATTGTGATTATTTCACACATAAACACTAAATATAACAAAAGCAATTACTCCCCGTACATGCTGATTAGGTTATTTACCATCACAATACTGAGAATTAAAGGAACTGACCACAATAAAAAAAAGTTAGCAATGGAATCATATACAAATTCAGAATAGAAAGACAATGCTATTTGCAGAGAAAATAAATTTGGAGGGATAGAATAGTGTGTTTGTAACCTTATAGAAAACAAGTATTCAGTAGCGGGAAGAAATGCATCTAAATAAGTATAAGGTTTTCACGGCTAACACTTCCATTAGATTTTCCTTGTAGAAGGAAAGAAAAAATGGCAAGAGAATTGCATAACTCAAAAGCCCTAATGTATCACTATGTTTTTTCTAATTAGTGGTGCTAAGTACGGGGGGGTGGGGAGGGGAGGAAATAAAAGCATGAGGAAGATAAATGTTTTTATCATAGTCCAAAATTTTACAGGTAATGCCTTTGGAAAAAAGTAAGATAGCACCAATTTTTTATGCATCCTACATGCCCTTCAGCAGAGCATATACAGCTTCTTAGAATGGGCACTGTTGGGTCCGTCCACCCAGAAGTCCTGCCACTGAGATTGGGTTCCCACATGGACAAAGGATGTTCCAGAAAACTGTACAATCTCTATTCTAAAGCAGTTGTCCATCCTGCATCCCTTCATGGTTTTCTTTACCAGTATTTGCAATAGCAGAGGAGTCTCCCATGAAATTCAACAAGCTGCTCAGAAGATTCCTTCTCTAAGCCTTTAAGATGGAAGTTGCTAGAGCAACCTGTAATGTTATTTCTACGTGGGATCATCTTCTCTCTAATACAGCATCAGTACTAAATTCATACTCTTATATGCAGGGCTAAAGCACAACTGAGCTGTTGATTTGACCTGTCTCGATGGTATTAACTCTTATAAGCCCCCATGTGTTGAACCGTAATTAATCTTGACTCTGCCAATGACTCAGATGTCTATAAGCTGTGCTAAATTCTGATTGGTCCTCAGTACTTCAGTCTTGTACCTCCCTCCTCTCTCACAAGGGAAGTCTAGGCAAGCATGTGGCACCGAAGGCAGTAATTGCCTAATACTCATGACAATGCACATTTTACAAGGAACAACATGAGCCATGGTTGAGGGGCACAAATAAACTGCATCCTGTTTCAGTAATGGTCACTATCACGTGGAATAATTTCTGGGTGTTCATGCATTGTCCACATGAAAAGGAATACCCACGCTGCCTCAGAGACCCTCAGGTTCAGTGGGGCCTCTGCATTCTCACATGACAAAGGTAACATTTGCAGTTTTGTCTTTCAGCTAAACATGAAAAATTCCCAATGTCTAATCTCAAATATTTTTCTTTTCAAACAGATAGAAAAGGCTAATGGCTACCTCTTTGTAACAAAAATGAGCTTAGCAGCATAGACAGCCAGTCTTTATCTTTGTAAAAAGCCTGTTAGTTAAACTATTCATAGGCCATGATTTTTCTCTAGACACTGAATACTTTCATTGATAATATCTCTTGGCCGAAAGAGGGTAAAATGTTCTTCACTGGACATTTGAAACCAACTTTTCCTACACTTTAGAGAGCAGAAAAAAGAGAATTTACTTTCCTTCTCTTTTTGTGTTCAACTTTGGCCAGCATTCAGAAAGCTATTTTGTGGGGGAGCATCTGGGAATTTTAGAGAGTGCTGACCAATGCTCCCTGAGAAGAAGTGGGACAAGCTTTACCGTGGGTAGAGCATGAGGTCTGCATTTAGAAAAAGTGGTGTGAGTGGGACTCTGACTCAGAGAAAGTTACATGATTTCTTTGATCCTCAGTTTTCCTCATCTATAAAATGGAGACAGCAGCAATACCTGAAACACAGCATTGTTATGATGATTTTGGGAGTACCACGCTTTGCTCTAAGAAGAGAGACCTGTCCAGGGTTGATTCTGGTACTAAAAGTTCAGATGAAGGCTCAGATGAGGGGACTCTGAAATTGCTCTAGGAGACCCAACCTAAATTGGTCTCCCTTTGTGTTGGGGATGATAGGAACCCACAAGCCCTGGCTGGCCACTAACAAGGTAGATAGGAAGGTTATTTAACATTTTGGAACCTCTTCTATATCACGTGGATACTTCCAGCTACTTTGAAGAGTTGTTGGGATAATCAAACCAGATGATTCAGATAAAGTACCTGGCACATGTAGTAGGAGCTCAACAGGTAATAACAATGAATAACATTCAGTAAGCGTGCATCATGTGCTTGGCCTTGTGCCAAATATATTAATACATTGTCTCCCTGGATCCCATAAGGACTCTGTGAGGAAAGTACTACTTTTATATCCATATTACCAATGAAGAAATTGAGGCAGAGAGATGCAGCAATAAATTCTAAAGCCAGGACTTGAACTTGAACAGTGTGGCTTCAGAGTTCACACTCTTACCCACTCTGCTAAATTGCCATTAAAACATTAGATGTTATTGACATGACATACCCTTGTTATGGGTAGTACTCTCTGAGCATGCCCAGGAGTATCCTGGCATTCGGACAGAGCTGGCTCCCAGAGACAGGTCTTGGAACCAGTTCATCCTGCATCTTTCCCTTTCTCATTCCCCTCTTCTAGTCCTCACATGTGCAGGAATGAATACTCTGCTATGTCTTCTTCCTTTCTCCTTGGGGTAAAGGATGAAGGTGGGACATTAGGAGGACACCAGAATTCAAGAAATGGCTATACAGCAAAGAAATGTAAGCACAAGACCCCTCACATAAGAATCTGTGCTCCAAACACAAATGGATTAGACTTTTCAAGGACACCTTCTTTATTTCTCTTGCTCATGGATCCTATTGTTAGCCTGGAAAGCACTGGAAGTTTTAGTCAGATGATGGGTGGTAAGCATTCCTACATATGGATTGCCAGCTAGTTAGCGTTTCAGTAAAAAACTGTGTAGTTTTGCTACTTAATTACCTTCTCAAAGGTGAAACGCTACATCATTGTTAGTGAAAAGATTGAGAATCATTTCTATTTCTTATTATTAGCAGATTAATCATTTCCCTTGCAAAGGCACAGAAAATTGGGAGTAAAACAAAAGAGAAACAGAACATTAAGAAATTTCCCCATCATTCATAATTAAATTGGATTTTTTCATTAAGTAGAAAAGTATAATACACAATAGAAAGAAAGCAGGTACAACACATGAGTTAGGAATTCTACAAAGTATCATGTATAATTACTATATTGTGAGCTTCGCTTTATCATGCTTTTATTCAGGTCTTTAGCGTGAACATCAAACATCATGTATTAGATTTTTAAATTCATTTTATTGGAGTGGGCATTTTGACATTTAATCCTGGTTTAACTTGTTTCCTAAACAAATTCTTTTTCTTTGTTTGAAGGTTTTGAATTACTCTATAGGAAGGTTTATATTTTGCTTCAATATCCAACTCAGTTATCTCAGAATAGTTATCCTCAATGTTAGAAAGCATGAAATAGTTTTGATGTGCTATGTTTCTAGCTGACCCTTCAATTCTCTTTTACAACAAAACTTTAACAGACATCATGTCTTAAAATCTTTTCTTTTTAAACATGTTTTGGAAGTCTCATGTATGCTTAGAAAAGATGCCTTCTATGGCCCCCAGCAAACTTCTCTGTATATTCTTTTCTAAAGGTAGAATGCATATAACCAAGACTGAGTTTGTGAAGGACTGGCTATTTTCTTTCTTGTCTTTCTGCATCATCAGTCATGTGTGATGTGTAATAGGGAAGTGTTTTTCAAAGGCTAATAATTAAAAGACATCATATTCAAAACAGAAATGAGGACACTCACATTGAACAAAGTATGATTACCCTCAAAGAATAAAGCAACTACTAATTTTGAAAGGTAAATATACAGTCAATAAAACATCAAAATAATGGAAACAAAAGTCTGTAAATATTGCTTTAAAAAATTAAGTCATTTCATTTAAGCAGGATTCAATGGTTTTCACAAAGTCTTTGCTACAAATGTTAGTCCCCAAACTACTTTGAATCTTCTTACTATGTACTCCCCACCAGCTATTGAATCAAGTTCTCCAGGCAGGAAGATTTACAAGCACATACACACAGGGTATATTAAACTCATTTCCAAAAAACCTTGGAATGTGCTGTTGCAATCTCCTCTTTAGCAGGGAAGCTTAACAGAAGGACAACCACGCAGACCAGTAATTGCAAGATGAGGAAAGAGTCCACTAACTTTATAGGAACAAATTAGAAGAGAAGTTTCATAATGCTTCTCATTTGTCACCCTCTCTTATTTCAAATGTATACCCTGTCTTCATCAAAAAAAAATCCCCAACCCAAAGGTACTAAATTCATATGTTCATTTTGCCCTTTCCCTCCACGCCTCCCTGGGTGTGGATCTTTGGTCTTCCTCTAGGTCCCCAGATCCAATATTGAGAAGTTGAACAAGAGAAAAGTTAGCCGAAATCATTTTACCTGAGCACTGACTCTGGGTGCTGGCAAAAGCAGTCCCCGGAGCAGCTCCTGTTGCTTTCATTTTGCTGCAGCTAGGGCTGGTCATTCCGTTAATAATGCTCTTATGACCGCCCACTGGAAAAAAAAAAAGTCACTTGTTCGGCTCTTCCCCCAAGAGACGTTTCAAGGAAGCAATGAACTTGGGCAGATTAGCCCCTTGGAATGTGCTGCTTCGGGATTAGCCTCACTAAGAATCCCATGGACATTCCCTCCCAGCCCTCAAACACTGCTTGATTTGAACATCTAATCTGACGCCAGAAGAAAAACAAATCCCTGGAGAGATCGGATTTAACTGGCACAGGTCCTAACAGGCTCCCCCGCCTACCCCTCCCTTTTTCTTTTTCCATTTTCAGAGAGAA